TGTTCCTGGCTGCTGACTGCGAGATTTAGAAGGAGTACTAGCACCACTGCCAGTGGCCCTATCATTCGAGTCACCACATGCACTACCGTTGGAACTGTTCGACCCACTGCCAGCCACCGTTGTCGACCTGTTATCAATGTTCAGTAAGAGGAAAAAACCCCAAGAACCTCAGCCGAATGTAGTTATTTCAGCAAACTCTCCAAAATTAGTGTAGTAAACTCACGAATTACGGCAAATTCACACTTGTTTCAGTTAAGGCAATAGCGGGGGATGCCCATCTGTTAGTATGCCGCCGCTAAACTCCTGATCCTTCCATTTTGCCACAACATACAACTCGTTATCTTAAGTATTAATTTGCAAAAACAAAAAAACAGGTCCGTCAAGAAGTAGTACTCACTTTCCATTTTACACACAACCGTCATTTCAACAAGCCGCGTTGCCCCGACTTCTAGATCAAACAGAGGGCAATCCATATCGCTTTGCACCGCTTTAGAATAGACACACGTTCCGCGGTCTCGCATCTGAAATGCAATCACACTTCAAGATATGATCTTCACAAAACCGAATTCAGAGACGTGGCCGCAAAAACAGAAAGCTCGTAATTGTACCTGCTTATGCTTCTTCGACGATGTTTCTTCGGCTTCCGAGTCAGGGTAATTGTGCTCGTCAAGGGAGCTGTCCTTCCTCTTCCGTGATGATAGCGTATCAGTGCGTCCTTTCGACCTGGGAACAGCGTATTTTATCCTGCTCATGAGCAAAGTGGGTGAATTAAGAGGAGATAACATGTTGCTTCTACCATTCCTTGTGTTTCTGTACGCTTCTTTGGTACGCTATTCGCTTGGTGTATATCGCTGGAGGCTATCTCCCTGTAGGCCACTACATTCGTGGCTGGAAGAATACTAAAATGTCTAATTGATCATTTGGTTGGAGATAATATAGGGCGTGATATAACAGGAAATCAATGCTCAGACTTACAATGAGCTACGAGGGAGTGGTTGCTAGGGAATGATTATCGCTTTTCAGAGCAAACACGGATGAGCCAGTTTCTTGCTGAGGTCTTTTCCTGATAATAAAGAATATTTGAATCATACTAATACTCAACAAGAAACCCTAAACGGCGGAAAGATGAATAAACATAAAAAGGATTAAATAATGTTGAAAATGCAATCATCGAAGCATTCCTAAAAGAGAAAATCACCTATGCTTTGGAGAGGACGTGTTGTTCGATGAAGTTTCATGTTCGCAATGTAACTTCACAAGATTGTTTGTAAATGCAAATGCTGTAAATCACATGTTTTATTTCACAAACTACGAAAATTGAACATGACAATTGACTTACGCGATGGTTCCCGCCGCTGAGTTTTCGAAGGCGTGCTGCTATGGAAGTGCACCTCACTGCTAGAAGTCACTTGTGGTTGCCCAAACACTGGTACGGTGAGGGGTGTCGAAAGTTTATTTATAGAGGTGTTTTCTGTGTCTCCTTCAAAAAATACAACAAATAAAACAAAGCTCTTAAAGTTACGCCACAATTCAATTTGACAAAAGAAAACGTCATCACTGATAAACCTTAACACAGGGTCTAGAAAATGGAACAAAAGGCCTCTTCTCCCCATTCAGCAAGCTTTACCAGTAATTCAGGACGAGCATTTTCCTCAATTCTCATGGAAAACTTATTGAACAGAAAGCAACAGAATAATACTTCCCGAAGTACCACCGCTTATGTGACTTACGTAATAGGAATAAAAATGACCTACGTTATTATCCCTTATAATAACCGACCGTACGACGAAAAAAGAGAAGCGTAATGAGTTCACCTTGTGCTGACTTATGTCTACAAGAGGGCTTGCAGGCAGTTCATGGTCGATAGATACGGAGCCATCCTGTACATCGTCGATGAGCAGGCGACCTTCATCGTCCGACATTTTTTTAGGTCCACCCTGAGCATACAAAATCAATGGTTAAAAAAGTGTAGTAATTCAACCTACACAGGAAGACGAACCGTTATAAAAAAAAACCGATGAGAGAAGGACATGAATACAAGTAAATTGTGGAAAAGTTCAAGAGATCAAAAGTGAGCTAGTTGATCATGAAACCAGGCAATTCGATATGAAGACCACAACTATAGTGCAAAACTTTTAAAAGTCACCACACACTAGGTGGGAAAAATGCAAAAATAGTAGAAAAAATCAGGGAGTGCTCACTTCCAACAGGAGACATGCGGTGAGGGATGCTCAACACCTCGATAAATTCGCGACAAGACACCTTCCATTTTGTATTATGAAGAAGGTAATTTACTGCACGGAAGGGTTCCTATCATATATAAATACGTGTGATAGCATGCCGCTCCCTCATTTGCCCAAAATTGAATTACTTGCAGGCGACCGAAGTATTGGACTACAATGTCCCACCTTGTTAATTGAGGTAGAACTCTGTAAGAATCATGTACCCCTCAAACCTAAACACTCTTTGGATTTGGGACAATTGCATTTATATATATTACTGTATGGTGCTATATTACTTTATTAGGCCTCAACTCAGATATGTTAGATGCGGTCAGTCGATGTGTAAAGCTCGTCAAGAGGATTAGCAAAATTGGGTTATTTCCAAAAAGAAATGCGGAAGTAAAGTGAAGTGTTGAAAGGTGAGATGTGTGATGATGATAGTGGTGTGTATTACTTCTTTTCAATTATATCTTGAACCAATTCACTGCAAAATCTATCGTTCTCTATAAATCTCTCTTCTCTTTGAACCCACTGCGGCGGAAATTGGTAGTTGTCTTTTGGGAAAGCTATAAAATGCGCAAAATCTTTCAAGAATCGGAATACAGCAGCTCGTCAGTATGATATATATTGACTCTGATATGTATGATATAATTTACAGTGCTTTTGGCGCACGTTAGCAAAGGGAAGCTCAGGTTTATAGTAAGTTCAAAGTGGTGTCGAGAAGGAAGTGGAATAGTCGTTAATGGCAATATTAGGCAGGTTCACTGAGAAGCCAAACTGCAAAATAATTGGGCAGCTGATGGAGTTGGACATAAACTCAATAATATCTCTGATGAAACAAAAAGCCATCGTTCTATCTAAAGATGGAAGCTTCTTAAGAAGAAAGCCTTGGAATAGGTTTTTCGACCTGGAAAAGACCAACTTGGATCAGCACCAGTGGGATTGGATGGATTTGACGAAGCGTCGACCGAATGAGAACGAAGGTGACGACCATCGTCCCATCGTTGGACACAAAGCACCCTTTTTTAATAAAATAAGGCGATCAATAAAGAAGGACACGACGCGGCGCGAGCCAAAAATCCACAAGCGCTGCGGGACCGCGCGGCGTGAATTCGCGCGCTAAACCGGTGCGCTCGACGGCGATTTGAATGCGCCCCGAGATCGGCGCCGGCCCTCGGCTCTACGTAGATCATCTACCGAACCTCGGGTCGGCAGCTGACCCGTTTGGCTTGTCGGGCTGGGGTGCCCCTTGGTCTGCCTTTGTATTTGTTGAATCCCTTGGCTTGCCCTCTCAGTGCATTTGCACTTTTTTCTTATCAAACTTGAACTTTGTTTGAACTTCTCTGGGCCAAGGGTAATTTCCACCGGACACGTTGTTGTGGTTGGGGATATTGTCAGTTCCAGAATTGTCAGAGTTCCATCCGAATGTTGATGGATTGAGAGATCCAGAACTTTTTTTGAACACTCTCCATTCCTATGCGTATTCTAATTGTATTTTCGCTGTGTTGATTGGCTAAACTCATTCTTTCCTCTAATAATCCATCAAGCACTAGCTGAAGTGTGGCTTAAGCTAATGAAACGCTTCGAAGAGAAGCCGTGCCCGTATTATTTCTGTGATTTGTTGGAATGATGGAAATCACTCGGCCTTACCGATTAAGTGTCGCTTTTCAAAAGTCACCCTTGCAAGATGATTTCCTAGCTCTTTTCAAAACCACGGAACATACCTACATGATTGCTTCTCTTTAATGAGTACCTAGAAATTAATCTACTTTTGTTTTAAATCTGGCACCAGCCGGTGATGTTCACTGCAAATGGGGGGGTCTATTCCAGTTGGGGGGGGGGGGCATCATGATGCAGTTTCTCGGCGAACTAGTGTGAACTCGAACATTCCAGCTTTCACGCATGTCAAGTGACTGCCCTCACCCCCACCCCCTAGACTGGCTACACTCCCCTGGCTCGGAGTTACCCTAGCTTTCTGGAAAAACTGCATCATGATGCCCCCTAACTGGTATAGACCCCAAACCCGTGCTTTTTTGCCCAGTCTCTTTGCCAGGGTTATGTGAGTAGGGTGGGCCGCCGATTTTCGATAGTATACCTCAGTTAAATATATTACTCAATCCGAGAACATTGTCTTTTTCTAAGGGTATCTTCAAAGAAAGAGGAAGTTCTGGGTTAGTAATATTATAATCCTTGGAAGGCTAATGGTAAGTTGTATCTTGGTTTTCTCAATAAATGAGGCTGCCACTCGGAGAGTGTTTTGCCCCACAACATGGCAGATTACGATAACTTTCGCGTTGCAGATTGCGAAAACAGTACTAAAAATAAGCAAGGAACACCTTTTGTAAGTACTCGGGACTGCTTATTGCCACTGTGGGCTGAAAGAGTTTTTTTTCACCAAATTCTCCCACAGAGATTATTGCTGCACCTGACCACGAATATAGGGTGAAGTTGCGGTAAGTTGGGGGGGGTTCAGTCTATGAGTGATAGTTGGAGCCGGATCTTTGCGTTTGGCGGTCTGTAGGCGCTAAGAATAAGAGCCCCCCATAAAACGACTAATTGAAGGTGAACTGGTGGTTGGGACCGATAAGTGTCCTAAATCTATACTCCCTCAATGTCTTTGTGGCTGGCGCACGCTCCTGTTCTTGCCCATTCCAGCTTCCACTTAAACTTAGCAGATCAGCGGTTTTGCTCAGATTTTATCGAAAAACTCTCTGTCCATATAGCGATTATTCTCCAAAAATGCCTATCCCCCTGCAGAGTTGACCCAGTGGGTTTGCTTTCCCCCCCCCCCCCATTCCATTTTCACTCGATTATAGCACTCATCTTTGCAGCGACATCTCTCGGCGCCACAACTTTTTCCTTCCATGTGGTTTATCCAATTAATAAGCAATTTCCTTGTAGGGTGTGGCGCCTTTAGTCTCGAGGTATTTTCGTCAGCTTTGAGCCTCTCAACTTCCTCGCCGCCCCGTGGGTAAAATGCTATGGCCCATTCGTGTAAACGTCTTATTCGAGGACCATACATAACTCGTTTAAGCAGTTCAGCTGCAATTTTGTGCCCTCCATGGCTTCCAATGAGCTCGTTATAGTGCAACAACACTCATCTCGTCCGCGCGCTCTACCTTCCGGTAAGAGTGCACAGGCCGTTTACAGCAACGTCCTGCAACTCTGGGCCATGCTATTGTTCGAAATGCTGAATTTTGAGCGGACAGTATCTTATTCTTCAAGTTCTTTCTCCCATCTTGGTCATGCCTTGAAAACGAGCTTTTTATCCATGTAGTGAAGGGTTACGCGAACTGTTGTACTAGTAAGAGGGAATAGATTTGTTTATTTGAACAATGTGAAATATCAGAGGCTCCGAACTTCCTCAAAGTGACTGTAAAGTGTAGGGCCTTTTTGCGGTCAGATTTCCTTTGCTCGTGATATCTTAGGGTCTGGAAGAGTTGGAAGAAATTCTTGGTAAACTCTCCGAAACCCTTTCACCCTTTTGACTGCCAATGGGATACATATATGTCTTACAACAACTCGATGAACACTTTGGGATGAGGCGCCCGTTTGAAGACCGAGTTTTCCACGAATAAGAGCTACATTTCCTCTACTTACTTCAATAATGATACGTCACATGTATAGAACTCCGCCTTCAAACAATTTCCTCTGTTCCTCTGTAACTGAAAAAGTATTGTAGTATGACTTATGTGGCCCATTTTTTGAAGTGCTAAATTTGACAGAAGCACATTTTGCGAAAAAAAAACGTGCTTGAGCTGCCTCTACCACATTAGTTGTTTGTTATTACCATCGCAGATTATTGTGTTCTTTATTGAACTGTTCCTGATTCCAGTAGTAAGTGTAGACTTCTTCATTGACGCATTTTTAACTGTCATGGTTCTGAATTCTATGCATTTTTTGTTAACCTTTATGAACCTTTCGGTAGGTGCGGATGGTGTATTGGCTAGCAGCACTGATTACCAGGCACACGATCGGGGATGATATTCCGATCGGATCGTGCTCAGACCGATGGAGTCTCTATCCATCAGGAATTGGTTAAATAGTTCCAAATTGGTCTGGAGGCTCGAGCAAGGCTGAGGACAAATATATTGGTTTGTACAACGGTCACTGTGAACCACGGTTGAGACCGAAGCAGATACACGCATGTGTATTCTTCGACAGGGCTTACTTCGGCTGAAGGTGGATGAGGGATCGTGTTTTTTTCTGTAGGATCGCGTAGATGGGAGCAGTGTGGGATGGATGCGAGATGACATTCCACCCCCCCCCCCTCGACACTCCCTTTTTCTTCTTCATGGTAATCTTCTCTTTGAATTGATGACTGAGCACGGTCGCTCAGCTACTATACAGCGAAAGCACAGTTCCTTGGCGTAAAACGCGAAGCTTACAGCCTGATAAGTTGACACCTAAAGTGTGATAGCAGCTAGTGATATCGGCTGACTCGGCGTTCCGCGAATTTTGGCGCTAATTTTTAATAATGCGACGAATGGCGCGAAAGCTTTTCCAACGTTTTATTGTACTTTTCAATAACAGTTTCCCTTTGATCCTATCAAATACATACGCTCACTGATTATTCCGAACACGATGTGCTATTGAAAACAGCTGTTCAGGATTTTTTACGGAGCTCCTTGTAGTACTCTCTAAACCTAGTTACTGATTATATAAAGGCTTCAGTTTTCATGATAATTAGTTTTGGAAGGTATTGACTTCAAAATTTCCCATATTATTAGAATTTGAGGGGGCCGTAGTTATAAATTAAATGAAGCGCACTTGCCAATAATAAAAAAAAAAACCAAAGAACCCTTATAAAATAATCCATATGCTTCTTGACGAGGTCCGTATACTGTAACCTCGTGAGTGTTGTCTCAAATTTTGCAATTTTGAGCAAAATTGAGTTTATAAAATGTTTTTATTGGAGTTTCCATCGCAAGCATTTATCAATTACGATTGAAGCATCTTGCTGCGGTGGATAAATTTGCGGCAAGTAAAAGGTACATATTGTATAATTTAACGTATTTTCTATTGTATGTATACCCGATCACCACAAAAAGCTTCCGTTCATGTGCCATTCGATAGACGTTTTTTCGCGTATTTTTCCATTTTTTTATTCTGCGAAAATGACAATTATGATCCTTGTTAGACGCAACGAACCCCCCCACGTCTGCTTAAGCTTGGAAACGAATTCAGCTGTATGAACTACACATTATCCAAGCAGAGCCCCGCCTACGAGGCGCGCTGAGCATGCGTCTACATCGGTGGAGCCGAAAGCAGAAATTTCTATCTTTGCTCATTAGAACAATTATCACTTTGTTGTAAGAAAGTTCACGAAACGAGAAAATTGTAAGAGGCATTGTAAGAAACAGGAGGGCCTCAGCCATATAGCTTAGGCGTCCTTGACTAGCTTGCTCTCAGATTCGTCTCGATTCGGTCCATTAAAAAGAAAGCGACTGTGAAATAATAATAAAGGATAAAGCATTTGCCGTTGATCAATCCCTTTTTGGGATGCGGCACGCATTCTACTTCCATTTGTACATTCGCAGTGGCATTTGAATGCGATGTGGCCTATACAATGACTTGCGGGGGCCAGCCGATGTTCAAGTCAGTGTTTTTATCCTCCCAGACAAGTCTGGTACCAATTAACGATCGAGGGATTGAAGCTTGGTTGCCCGGCACTCACACCAGAATTTTGATCGACCGCCGCGTGACGCGCCTCCCCTTGTCACACACCACTTCCGCCTGACTGGTGAATATGGAAAAAAAAAAAAAACAAAATATAATCTTCTCAAAGGAACGACTTATGCTGCTAGTGGTAGAGCGTGGTCGTGGTCAAGTGGGAGCAGTTTCTCCGGAACCCTAGAAGATTCGAAACTAGACCTAGTGAACATAGGAAAGTGCCAAGAAGAAAGTCAAAAGTGGGGGGACGTTTGTCGTGAACACCTTGGGCCGAGATTCGCACGATTGCCGTTCTCTATCAGTTCGAGGTAAGCGATGCCCGAATCAGCGACTAAATTGCTGTGCATCGAGCTCTCCTTGCAATGTAGCCAAATCTTGATCCCAGCAAAGTCTCACCGCATAACGCTTCATTTCGCGACCAAAGAAAACAGTGAAAAACGCAAAGGAGAAAGTTTGGCATACTAGCGGAATGCGTTACCTGTTGCGGGATTGCATGAACGCTTAACAATTCATTTCCCGAACAGTTCGCGAGATAGAAGGTGAAGATCACGAGAAAGTGAACCCCCGTTTGATGCGCGAGACGTCAACATACACAGTCTCGATTACTAGACGGCTTAGAGATGGAAAAAATTGCAATTCAGTGAGAGTAGAATCAAAATGCTAGCGGAGCGGGTGGCCCCTTGACGGCTCGGTGTTGTTCTCAAATAAACAACTTTAGCGATCGTAGCGGAAACTCTTTTATCGACAAGAAAACTGTCCCCTGAACCTGAATCCGCAGCGAAAGTATTTATTTTACGCGGAACGTGAAAAAGTCCTTGTGTACCTAATACACCACAACCGCCTGATCGAGAGTCTCCTTGTCGTGTTCTTTACGTGCAGCGTGCTGTACCACCAATAGGTTAGACCGAAATGGTGACGTACTATCGTCAAATTGGCTCTTCGCAAATCTTTATAATCGTCTCACATTCAGCTATCCGCTTTACTTTCTTACTTTGATACTTTGATAGTCCATCAACTGGCGTTCTTCTCAGTGGGGACCACAGCTCTTCCACATAGCCCGATTTTTGGCAACTTGCATCCAATGTAGGCCGCGTTCTCTGAAAAATTTTGAAACGAGTCGGCCCACCGGGTTGGCGGTCGTCCCAAGGGTCTCGTTTTGTCTCTTGGGAGCCATTCCGTCACGCGTAGACTCCATCTTTCATCAGTGCGGCGAAGTAAATGACCGGCCATTCGATGCCTTCAACTGCGTCATGTAAGGAAATTTTTTTAGCGGCAAGAACCCCTGGGCCACCCCTGAACCTGAAGTTCCCGCAGCGAAGAATATTTTGCACTGTGCGAAACGTGAAAAGGTCGCTTTGTGTCCTAGCGAACTACACCCCTGGAGCGAGAGCTTTCCTTGTCGTGTTCTATATCGTTGCAGACCGTGTTGTACGCACAATAGGTGAGACGCCGAAATGGTAATGTACTGATTCGTACATTGGCTCCCTCTTCGCAAATCTTTGTATAAGTCGTCCCGCATACAACTACCGCCGGTATTCTGAATGAAAGTAGGGTGCATGGCGCATTCCAAGATCGGTTCATCCAATACCAAGGATTCAATTTTTTAATATTCTCGGTCCAACATTTCTAAAAATAGTGCTTCGTTTTCAATTCTCACTTTAATGAGTTTAATTTGAATAATTAACATATTTTTCATAGGTTGGTTTCATTTACGATTCTGTTATCACATCCGAGATTTGAGCTTTATCCATTTTATCAATCTTGATGAAGTGCCTTTCCATATGTTATACGCATGTGAAGCTTCAGCTGACTACACTATGTGCAGACATTATTTTTGATTTGTTTCAGTTGATGAATGAAAGCTAGAGCTCGTGTCCGTGCAAAAAGAGGTAAGCCTGAATGCGGTGGACGTGGAGCTGCTTCTTGTGTAACATCGGAAAGGTGAGCGTAAGCTCCTGATCGTACACACCAGTCTATGAATTTTACAGTAATAGGGTGTCCATCCGAGCTTTTAGTGATCGCTCCTCATCCCAGAGAAAGCAGCTGTACTTCGGAACCTTCTAATCATCCATCGACGAGCTCGACTGGCAGCCGAAAGAGAGCAGCAGAATCTCTCGAGGTGAAGTCATCATTTTATAGTAATTGTGCTTTCGGAAAGGTTTACAAGTACATGTACACCGATTTTTGAATCTTCGCTACCTCGCCTACTTTTGTATTCTGCGTGCCCGGCACGTGGGAAATTATGCCTGGCGTCAAGCGTATTTGAACTATACCCTCATCACAAAGCCCCATCCTCCGACAGTAGTGTACAATATTAGTAAGGTCCGTTGGTGGGTATTTCTAGAGTAGATGGCTAACTCTCTTGAACTGATTCCTCTTCCTCCCTTCGATACTCGTAGCTGAAAGCTTTCCAAAATTAGTGATAGGGCTCCTGAAACCCTAGAGCGTATTGTCGCTTATGCCGCCTTAAAGGAATGAGTTGCAGCAGCAGGGTCAACCGTCGCGTTCGCAGTACTCCAAGAGCTTTGCAACCCCTCCCCTTAGGGAGGTCTCGACTTGACCCACCATCACCATCATCAACCCTTGGAGGCTACCCTAATACGAGACCCCGATCATCATCCCCATCAGGGCTGCTTCCCTAGTAGTTGGTTCTGGGATCAGTCGACACCCCCAACTCTCTCTCGCCCATTTTTTACTCAAAAATGGATTCATCTGGTTCACGTAATTTGAAACTTGCCGAACTCGCCAAAAGCCCGTCAATCCTTTAACAATCCCGTTAACACTTGTCCCAGAGGTAGTTAACCTTGCCCCACCCCAAAATGCGATCCTCCTTTCCCAAAGTCGCCAATGCGCCCCCCCCCCCTCGTTCGAATACTACGAAGGGACGGTTGATCTCACGCAGAAGTCCTTTGCCGCCATTTACTATCGCCCTGAAGCTTTTGTATCATGAGACTTACCATGACTTAGAGACTGTGATTTGACTACTTGCAGTTAATGAATAGACTCTTCATGATGTTTTTCTTCGATAGTGATTACCCCGACGCATCTTGTGTGCCTTTTTTTGTTAGCATAAAAGTCCTTTTTAAGCCTTCATCTGCCTCTTCCGCGCAGAGCGCGAAGCGTCGCCATACCAGTGACGAGTCAAAGGAGATGGCTCCAGAATTTCTTCCTTCGACATCTGATGATGTTTCTCAAATAATAACGGAAGATGACGATGCACTTTCGGTACTGTAATGTTTTTGAGCTAGAATGTTATTTTGTTTAATTAGAATTATGTGAGAATTCCTTCCGTTTCTAAGATAAAGCAAATATGATATGAGAGTAATCTTCAGGTATTCACAACGGAGGAAGAGTGCGAGGAGCCCCCGCCGAGTATCTCTTATACTGACAGCGAAGGTGTTGATTTTTTACACAGATCTTATGTTGTCCCTGAAATCTGTATCCAAATTTAGAAGAAGATTCGAGTGAGTTAAACGAAGAATTGGAAAACGATGCTTTTCGAGAACTAGAGGCTGGACTGAATGATGTTATGTATCATCAGAAAGATGCGCCACCTCAGCTCACTGCTCTTCGCTGCAGTGGGATTGGTTCGCCGAAAAAGGTTTGCTCTCTGGTATGCTAGTTGGAATGGCATTTCTTACACGTATGTTTTGAGGTATGGGGTCTTCTTTGTCGAAAAAATGAGCTCATACGGCCGAGTAGTCGGCTACTGGAGAAACATCCTGAGTTGACACCTCATACGCGAGCGATTCTTGTTGACTGGATGATGGAGGTGAATCTTCAGGTTCTCTTCTGGTTCCGAGATCTATTTAGTCTTTCTCATGTGTTTTTCTTAACACTAGCGATCCTTTTGACACGTCTTCTTTGGTCTATGGTTCTGTTTTCTTCCTTGCTCTTTTTCCATCTGGCTACTGGTCCTATAATTTCCGTAAGACTTCGTTCTTTGTTTGCAGTGCGATCTTCGCGTTTCTTTACTCACTCTTTGACCCTAGCTGTGGTCCCTCCATCGGTGATGTCCTTTCCACACATCCTTAGGTCCCTTTTTCAAGCTCGGTTATGTACCGTGTTGGCTCTGTTCGGTCCAGCGCCTTGGGACCCTCTTATACCCTCCTCGTCATGGTATGCGAGTGGAAAGCGCGGAATGCGGGAATGTCATCAATGAGAGCAGGTCTGTGATCTTCACAGCGCATTCCATGCTTTCCACGATTTCGAGCATTCCGCGTACTCTATGTCGATAAAAGGGGATAAAGATAAAAGTAAGGGATAAAAGTGGCATTATTATTTCCTTTCCTTTCTTCCTGTTTTCGCAGTATGTTTCGTGATGTGGTTGAGGCTGTTGAATTTCGAAGTTTCTTGTCACATCAAATGATTATTACTAGATATAATATCTTGTTAAGGTGTGTGCAAGTGAGAAACAACATCGAGAAACTTTCCATCTAGCCATTGACTATGTCGACAGGTTCCTTGCATCTTTCCAAGGCATCAGGTCGCATACCTTCCAACTGGTGGGAACGGCAGCATTGTTCCTCGCAAGCAAATATGAGGTGAGTCTCACATAGTTAGTGTGGGTCACTAGTGATCATAATTTACGGGAATTGTGCCCACGATGGACAATTTCTAAGTTGGATATGAACAGTTATTCGATGCGATGACTTTTGCCTTGATACAAGGCTGCACTCATACGAAAAAGTGGAGTGGACTGGCGCAGCCCTTCCAGTGTTCTTTACTTGTGATGACGGGAATTGCGGTAAAAGTCCATGGTAGGCAAAAAACTGAAGTCGGGACTCTCTCGGAGGGGATATCCTCCATGCCTCACCTTTCAAGGCTTTTTCGATAAAAAATCGTAAGAAGATCCATTATACCATCCTATCCAACTTCCTCTACTAGACTCCCCTTTAGGACCCCAAATACGACCTCATTCAAATACCGCGAATAAGCTGCCCTCACTGACTCAATTCGCCAACACACGGGTGACATTTGTCAGAATCCATAGCAATTTCCGCAAGGTTTTTTCACGGATCAGACAAACGGGTGGTTCTCGAAATTTCACAAAGTCTCGGGTTTCCGGTCAAAATGAAGCTCCTGCGCTAGGAGTATGGAGTGACGCGCAATAGCAGAGCGCTGTACCCATTTTTGCCACGACTTAAGCGCCTAAAGGCTTCATTTTCATCCTCGTAAACGGTTTTTGTCAATTTTTCATTAGTGGCATTATTCTTCACACATCTGCTGTCACTAGCGTAACACATCAGTTTATTCTGACTGCCTTTAACACAAACGACACCCTTTCTCGGTCTCCTTTTGCGGGATGGGTTATTTTGCTGCTGCCTTGCAAATCAATACGGTGAATTTTGGTCGTAATTGAATAAAACATAACAGCACAAGGTAGTTCTAGTAACCTATATGAAACTGGTCGTTCTCATATCGAAGATGTGCAAAAAATTACGACAAACTGTTGGTAGGCATGTATTTTGGCAGTCTGTGTGGCGGCCACCGGCGTTGAATGTGTTGAAATTCTTACTCTTCACAATGTTTCCACTACTAAAGCCAAATACGTACACGCAGGGGCAAGAGCAAAGGCTGAGAAAACATTGGAAGAAAACGGTTGCAGTAGAATAGTACAGCATAGTGTAAGCCGGCTTTCCACTTTCTTCACGATTTGGGGCGCGGCCGAGTTGGTAGTGCCCGCGAACTGTACTGGTTTTCAAACCTACCGCACAGTTCGGGGACTACCAACTCGTCCGCGCTCGCCTTCGGCCGCGCCAGAAATCGTGAAGGAACTGGGAAGGCCGTGTCAACCTTTGGCCCTAATTTCAAGTGGTGGTCATGGATTCTGGTTAGAGTGAATCTGTAAGAAAAGTGGTGCACAGAACAGGGAAGCATCGGTAGGGTTCGATCTGTCACCGTTCAGCATCCTATCCTACTTACTATAAAGCGCTTCGTCTGTCGTTCTGTATGTCTGTCACGAAATTCCCTAGCTCCTCGGGATCCGCCTGGAGGGACCGGGTCAAGTGTGGGACGGGTGGGCAAGGTCTCACGAAGTACAAAACACACATCAGCTAAGCGGAGCCCCGCCCACAGTGGGCGTGGCGTGCGTCGACATGAAGTGTACTGACGACCGAGATTTTAAGATCTCTTAGAAAACGGCCTTGAAACTGGGCCAAAAAGTGGGTAAAGGTTGCATTGGTGAGTAACATCGAATTAGGGAGACCCACCCCCGGTGGGCGGGGCGTTCTCCAAAAAAGCAGTGCTTTATGAAAAATTTCATAACTCGGTTGGGAGAAAGCCTACAGAGCAGAAAACAAATTGGTGTAGGGAGCAATGTCTAAGGTGTTCCCAGCATACATGACGTGGGCGGAGGCCCGCCCACAGGGGGTGGAGCGCGCTCTGAAGTGTACAGCATTTTCTACGAGTCCTCATAATTCGGGCCGGGGAAGTCTTAGTGAGCCGGGAAAAGGTGGATGGAGGTGGGTGGAGGAGTGGAGCCCAGCTATCAACCGGTGAGCGGGGCTTGACCAAAGTGGGCGGAGTTTGCGACGAAAATTCATAACTCGGCTCCAAGAAGTCCTAGAGATAGGGAAAACGGGGTTAGAGGTTGGCGAGGGAAAAGAGGTCAACTGCTATCAGTGGGCGGAGCACGCACCTAAGTGGGCGGAGTTTGCCAAAAGTGTCGTAATTTGGTTCCAAGAGGTCCCAGAGACCGGTGAAAAAAGGGGTAGAGGTCGGCGAAAGGAAGGGGGCCAAATGCTATTGGTGGGCGGGGCACGCACCGAAGTAGGCGAGATTTATTGTCCGGAAGCAGTCCGGAGACCGGGAAAAAGAGGATAATGGTTGACGAAGAAAAAGAGGTTGAAAGCCGTCGATGATGGAGCGGATAGAATTTAGCTGAGAATTCAGATATTCGTGGTGTATCAAGCCAAATTTGAAAATTTTCGTCGCACCATCAAAATTCGCCGCAGATCTGTGTTGCGCGCGCAATGCGTGCGGCGCCAACTGGTACTTACTATAAAGCGCTTCGTCTGTCGTCTGTCGTCTGTCGTTCTGTCGTTCTGTATGTCTGTCACGAAATTCCCTAGCTCCTCGGATCCGCCTGGAGGGACCGGGTCAAGTGTGGGACGGGTGGGCAAGGTCTCACGAAGTACAAAACACACATCAGCTAAGCGGAGCCCCGCCCACAGTGGGCGTGGCGTGCGTCGACATGAAGTGTATTGACGACCGAGATTTCCAATTCTCTTAGAAAACGACCTTGAAACTGGGCCAAAAAGTGGGTAAAGGTGTGCATTGGTAAGTCACATCGAATTAGGGAGACCCACCCCCGGTGGGCGGGGCGTTCTCCAAAAAAGCAGTGCTTTATGAAAAATTTCATAACTCGGTTGGGAGAAAGCCTACAGAGCAGAAAACAAATTGGTGTAGGGGAGCAATGTCTAAGGTGTTCCCAGCATACATGACGTGGGCGGAGGCCCCCACAATGGGGAGCGCGCTCTGAAGTGTACAGCATTTTCTACAAGTCCTCATAATTCGGGCCGGGGAAGTCCTTAAAGAGCCGGAAAAAGGTGGATAGAGGTGTATGGAGGAGTGGAGGCCAGCTGTCAATCGGTGGGCGGGGCTTGACCAAAGTGGGCGGAGTTTGCGACGAAAATTCATAACTCGGCTCCAAGAAGTCCCGGAGGCCGGGAAAAAGGTGGATGGAGGTGGGTGGAGGAGTGGAGGCCAGCTGTCATCGGTGGGCGGGGCTTGACCAAAGTGGGCGGAGTTTGCCAAAAGGGTCGCAATTTGGTTCCAAGAAGTCCTAGAGATAGGGGAAAACGGGGTTAGAGGTTGGCGAGGGAAAGGGAGGTCAAGCTGCTATCTTTATTTCTATATATATTCGCATCGAGTGGACGAGTTTGCGAAAAGTGTCGTAATTTGGTTCCAAGAGGTCCCAGAGACCGGGAAAAAGGGGTAGAGGTCGGCGAAAGGAAGGGGCAAATGCTATTGGTGGGCGGGCACGCACCGAAGTAGGCGGAGTTTGCCACGAGATTTATTGTCCGGAAGCAGTCCGGAGACCGGGAAAAAGAGGAATGGTTGACGAAGAAAAAGAGGTTGAAAGCCGTCGATGATGGAGCGGATAGAATTTAGCTGAGAAGTCAGATATTCGTGGTGTATCAAGCCAAATTTGAAAATTTTCGTCGCACCATCAAAATTCGCCGCAGATCTGTGTTGTGCGCGCAATGCGTGCGGCGCCAACTGGTTGACATATAACTTTGTTGTGCGAGATTTTTCATAGATGTGCGTTTTAGGAAATATACCCCCCGAAACTGGAAGACTTTGTTGCTTACACTGATGGCGCTTGCAGTGAACAGGATGTACGTCGAAAGTTCTACTTGTTATCGAATGTATTCTGTACTCCAAATGATGTGACTATGCTTTTAGGTTCGGACGTTCGAGATTATTATGCTGAAAGAACTGCATTGGTCTCTGGCACCACTTACAAGCATCCACTGGCTCAGCATGTATATGCAATTCTTAGGAAACAAAGAGGTGGGCATAGAAAATTGAAACCCTTGATTAGTTGTTCGGGTGTATATCAGTTTTCTCTTACATAGATGTTGTTTCTCGTAGGTACCTAAGAATAGCGGCGATACTCACGTGGTTGATCAACCCTTCATCGTTCCGGACACCTTGAGAGAAGACTTTGTCAATATGGCCAAGGTATTCACATATACATTTTCACAACGTTGCAGCTGATCCACTATGTGCAAATACAAGCAGGCATCTGTTAGGTGTCAGATACGGAAGTACATTCTGTTCTCGGGCATGACGATATTAGTTCCAGCTGTACACGCTATTAAGAAAAGAACCATATCGCATGATTCTTTTGGTGTTTTTGCCACACACATCATTCAGCAACGCGGCAGCAATATTTAAAAATAAATCTGATATCGGTTTCTTAGAGGTCGTATAATGTGACTCTGCAATTACGACATACAGTCGATATCCGAAAGTTGGGGTAGGCGTGTCACCGGAAGTGACGTGCACTTGATAGAAGTTGCGTGGATAAGCTGTTGCCAGCATGCTTTGCTGATATCCAGCGATGTATGTTGGAAGCAGCTTATCCACATAGCTTCTATCAAGTGCACGTCACTTCCGGTGACACGCCTACCCCAACTCTCGCATATCGAGTGTATTGACGTATACGCGCCGAATCTATAAGCACATGTGTTCATTTTGCGCTCTTCGTGGACAACCAGAAATTCATAACTGTCATTCGAGGTGCTTGATTTGCTGTTGCTCGATGTGGCTTCGTTGAGATATTCCTATCGAGAGCTTGCTGCCGCAGTTCTTTTTGCCTGTTACGAACCTCACGCTCTTGTTCAGGAAGTCACAGGTTGGTCTTCACTTTATTCTGGCACAGAAATATGATTTCTCACGATCAGGAAGATTGGCACTACCAGTCTTCTAGATTATATGCTGCGTGGGTGTGGTTCGCTAGGACAGAAAGCGACTTTTTCGCGTTTCGCGCGAAACATTTTTCGCTGCAGGAACTCCAGGTCCACTCATGATCAGCGGTGGACCTGAGGTTCCCGCAGCGAAAAATGTTTCGCGTGCGAAAAGCGAAAAGTCGCTTTCTGTCCTAGTAAACCACACCCGGGTGCGCGAGTACGATAGCAAATACCGCCGACACGCTCACTTGCGTGTGATGGGTTCGTTTAAGCTACAGTCGATATCCGAAGTTGGGGTGGGTGTGTCACCGGAAGTGACGTGCACTTGATAGAAGTGCGTGGATAAGCTGTTGCCAGCATGCTTTGCTGATATCAGCGATGTATGTTGGAAGCAGCTTATCCACATAGTTTCTATCAAGTGCACGTCACTTCCGGTGACACGCCCACCCCAACTCACCGATATCGAGTATAGAAGCTAATCACAGATAAGTGGGTATTTTACTAGTAGATGTTCTCATGTTTCTTGCACCTGTGATTTAGAAATTCGGCTTGCTAGTTTTCTCAAGTTGTGAAGTTATGTTTTTTGAAGGGTAGTCTTTCACGTAAAGGAAAAAAGGGGGCGGAAGTGGTGTAGTGGCAAGTGGCACGCTTACCACGCGAGCGGTCCGGGGATCAAATCCTGGGTCGTGAGTCGCCCGGGCCAACCAAGCCTTCCATCCCTCCGGGGTCGGTTAATTGGTACCAGACTTGTCTGGGAGGATAAAAACACTGACTTGTACATCGGCTGGCCCCGCAAGTCATTGTATAGGCCACATCGCATTCAAACGCCACTACGAATGTACAAATGGAAGTAGAATGCGTGCCGCATCCCAAAAAGGGATTGATCAACGGCAAATGCTTTATCCTTTATCCTTCCATATGTTCGGAAGCGTTCGCTTTTCGAGTGCGCCTTTAGTTTTTTTTTGTATATAACGTGTTTTAGGATATTCCTATTCCGATCTGCTGAGGGTTGTTGAATGGGTGGAACCCGTAGTGAAGGCATGCGATCGATTGCGAGCACTTGGTGATCCACTGCAGATTGTTGAAGGAATTCGCGCAGACGATCTCCATAACATCCAAACTCATCCTGAACAAGACTTTGAAGAAGTGGTGGTAAGTTATACTCACAGTAGCATCGCCAGGGCCAAGGTTAGGGGAGGGAGTGGGCTTTTTGAGGTCTCCCAACTTCTCGTTGCTCACAGTTCATGCTTTGAGAACGCCTTATTTATTTATTTCCATTATGACCTTACTTGATTAGTGTTGCTCAAGCGTGCTATGATTGTATAGATCTTTTTTGAATTTTCATGATGAACACCGAGTTTATGCTTGTAAAATGCCTTTTCAGACGGACATTGAAAAGGAGCGTGAACTCGCGAGGATGACCCGAGAGAAAGTAAAAGTAGTTCCGATGAGTAGGAGAAGAGGACCTCTGAGATCAAGGTGTACTAATCCAGACCAGATTACAATATTTTCATAAGTGTTTTCAAGCTTGATTATTAATTTTCTTTTCCAATAACCAAAAAAGAATGTCTTTTCAAATTCAAAGAATCATTGATAAAGTAGCATGCGACTTGGTTGTGTTGTATTTCACTGTTGCCATCAAACGAGTAGCTCCTTTCTAATGGGCTTTCTATTAATTGTATCGATTGTCATGTTCTATTCGTATAATGTACCTACTTCGCTTTCGGAAATGTCTTCTACTAAGCCGGGTGACATATCATTTTTACGTTGTTTGTATTTTTCGTAATTCGATATTATTTTTTTTTCTTTATTCTGGAAGTGGGTATGCATTTGCTCTGTAACATTCATTCTACTGTCAGATGGTTATGTAGAAATAAATCGTTCTAGTTCATAGACGTTTCCCGTGTTGAACCCGTAGTGTTCCTTTGTCACGCATTCGGGAAGTTGATACTCTGCTAGCAGTTTCTTCTGGACTTTTATGGTGTACCTGAAGAAAACTCAAAGGCGAATTATAAGATGAAAAGGCAGCCTATTGGAAATACAGGAAGAATAACTAAAAAATAATCAAATACAATAATTGCGACACTTGTTTTTAAAGGCGGAATTCTCGAAGGAAAAGCAACCCATTCAAATTAACCAGGGATGAGTGGTACACGAAAGAAGGAAAACCATGAGAAACGGCCCAGAACCCGAGAAATGGGACCCCTTCCTTGCCCGTTGATTTGCGCATTGATGCGACTCTCATCGCTGTGCCCTCTTCAACACTACGCTCTCTCTGCTCGCCACGTATAGACCTGCGGCGAGTGATTAGATATCGGTGGGCGTACCCGCCAACCGCGCCAAGAGTGAGCCATGCTAGGTCGCCGAGGTCAAATCTTTCGCTGCCAATTGCGCGTCAGTTCGCACCCTCAGGAGGTCCGTGGTCTCTCAACTAGGTGAATTACTCCTTCTTCGACCTTCATTCTAATCGTGAATTCCTCCTTTAAATTAAGTATTACTTCAAATGAGGAATTCACGATAAGAACGAAGGTCAAAGAAGGGGAAAATTGCATAGTTGGGAGACAGGCGGACCTCCTGAGGGTGCTGACCGACGCGCAATTGGCAGCGAAAGATTTGACCTCGGCGATCTAGCATGGCTCACTCTTGGCGCGGTTGGCGGGGTACGCCCACCGACTATAATCACTCGCCGCAGGTCTATACGTGGCGAGTGATTAGATAGCAGAGAGAGCGTAGTGTTGAAGAGGGCACAGCGATGAGAGTCGCATCAATGCGCAAATCAACGGGCAAGGAAGGGGTCCCGTTTCTCGGGTTCTGGGCCGTTTCTCATGGTTTTCCT